AAAAAAAGGAAAAAAAAAAAAAAACCAAACCAACAAACCCCCTCATAATAAGCTGCCCTCCCTTCCTCTCCGCATCCCCCCTCATGTTGTGCTTGCGTGGCTGCCCCGGCCCCCGGCGTTGTGTAGCGGCTGTGAAATAAATACCCCGTGCTGTGTCAAACACTSGCCCGCCCGTTCCTCCCTCCGACACCCCCGTGCCCGCCCTGCACCCTGTCCTGGAGTGGGGGTGGTGGCGGTGCTCTGCCCTCCAGTGACGGGGCACTGCTGGGMTGGGGGAGTGGGTAGGGTTAGGGGTGTCCCCCTCAACAGTGCCCTGGGTTTGGTTCCTGTRTTCTTCTGTCATGAGGYTGGAGCTGRTCTCCCTCCCCASGGRTCTGTCCCCATCCCGGCTCCTGACWTCTCCAGGGYRCCCCCAAAGATATGCCCCCATACCTCCCCAGCTCCTGACCCTTGCCAGGACCCYAAACCCACTCCCTTTCCACAGGGTCTGGAGCCGTAGAAGGACCCAGAACTGCCCTCCCTCCCCGTCTTGGACCCCAACCCCAAACAAGACCCCAACCCAATCCCAGAATATCACTCACAAGACCAACCTGCCCACCCAAACCAACCCACACCCCAGCGAGGACCTCCCCACACCCCCCACCCCCAACCACTCAGCACCACGGGACACCAGGGCCTCAACTCACAGCATTTATGGCCCCAGGGAGAAAATAAAACAATARTACAAACCCCAAACCTCCCCAGTTTGGAGTCAGCAGCTGTCAAAGGCACTGTGCCATATCCCCTGCCCCCGGGTGCCCATGCTCCTCCACCAGTTCTGTGGGGTCCAGGTGCTTGGGCCCCACACCACTGGAGCCAAAGAGGATGGGGCAGCTCTGTCCCTGGTACCTCGGTCCCCGGCAAAAGTCCCCCGGGAGGGATGGTCAGAGCTTGCTGGGGGGTCCTGGCCGCTGCTGGAGCTGCCAGGTTGCCCGCACCTCCTCACCCACTCGGTTGAGCCCAGCGAAGGCATCAGGATCGCCGGTGCGGCGGTAGCACGCGATGAGGGGCTGCAGGACGGTGATGGGGACACAGAAATTGAGGTGGGGGTAGGTGGTCCCTGCACCGGTGTCRCGGGTGTTGCTGGCCACGATCCCTGGTGAGGAAGAGAAGCGATGCTGACATCACCGGGTCCGGCTGGGGGACACCCACGGGACCGCCCTGCCTACCCCGGGCTTACCCATGAGGCATCCGCTGCGGGAGGAGACGAGGGGSCCGCCGCTGGAGCCGCCGTGGACGGCACAGGTGGTCTGCAGCATGACGGGGCACCCAGCCACAGCCACCACGGCCGACAGGACTCCTGCTGTCACCGAGGGGCCGCACGCCCGCCCCAGCGCCCCGTAGCCCACCACGCKCACCTCTTCTCCTGGGGTGGGGGAGGAGGGAGGTGGGTGCAAGGAGGTGATGTAGCCCGTACCCCAACACCCCGTGTCCCCCCATCGCTTACCTGGGAGGAAGGTGTCTGCCAGGTACGGGGGCACAAAGCCTGGCACACTCTCCTCCAGCTCCACCACGGCCACGTCAAAGGGGGACGAGTCCTCTGTGGCAAACACCACCCGTCCCCTGAGCACGGCAGCATCGCTAAGGATACGGGAAACGAGATGTCATGGCGGGGGACGCGCAGGATAGCGCTGACAAGGTGGGGGACACCCAGCCACACTCACCGGCCGGGGCCGGCTGCCGGTGTCACATGGAGCGGGGCTCTGGCCTCCACGACGTGCCGGCAGGTGAGGAGCATCCTCGGCGCCAGCAGCACCCCGGAGCCCCAGGTCGCCCCGCACTCCACCAGCGCCGTCCAACCCAGCGGGTCCTGCCCGCTGCTCGCCGGCACCGGGGCCACCCACGCGGGTACCGGCGGTACCACGACCCCGGCTTCGTCCAGGACGCCGGCGCTGCTGCGCAGGATGGCGGCGAGGGAGCAGAGCAGCGTGAGCCCGACCCACTCGGCGCCCTTCCAGCAGAAGGAGGCGGCGATCACGGCCACCACGCGCGGCCCGTCGGGCGAGGGCACGAACGCTGCGCCGCCCTCGGTGCCGGGCAGGCAGCGGGCGTCGGTGAGCACCAGGGCATTCTCCTCGCCCACCAGGTTGCTGACCACCCCCCGGCTCAGCGTGTTGAGGAAGAGCTCGGGACACAGGTCTCCGAAGGGGGATCCGCAGGCCAGCAGCGCCTGTCCCTTGCGCAGGCAGCCGGCGCTGGCCCGCGCCGCCCACCCTCCCTCGGGCGCGTCCAGCCCGGGCACCCGCAGCCAGGCGAACCAGGGCAGCGCCCGCGGGTCGGTGTCCGCCTCCTCGGCGCTCCCGAAGCGCCACCGCTCCGCCCGCCCGAAGCCGCGCTCCAGCGCCCGCCGGAACGCCGCGCAGGGCACCAGCGCCAGCAGCCGCGCGTCGAGCTCCCGCAGCCCGCCGGGCTCGGCGCCC